TGGAAGTCAAAGTCAAATGTCTGACTGTCTTTATCAATATATAGGCTGCTATACTTTGTATTCTATATTCTAGTAGGACCATCAACTTCATCTTAAACTTTCCTGCCTGTATTTTTCACTTCGATTTTCTCACCTTTTCTTTCATGCTCTAATGTTAGTCTCCTGTAAGTAATCAGGTCCATTTAGAATCTAAGGAGTGTACACACATATAAAACACATATAGAACTAGGGTTTTTTTCCCAACCTCTTTTCTATATTTTATACTTTGCTAAGATGGTTAGACAATAAAGAGCTGCTATAACTAACAATAATTCATGTCATATTCATGAAAAGATAAAGCAAAATATGATTAATACACAAACCAAAATTTGCAGGGCTTCACTATTATCCTTGGCGCATGTGGTTAATAATGCTGTGTTTCCATTTTCTCCTTCCAAATTAATATTAGTACTTCTGTGCTCAGTCAAGACCTACCCAAAAGAGGAGAAAAACTGTCAAAAAGCAAAATTATATATTTCCAAATAAGGACTTGTCTTCCCCTTGATTCTAAGGTCTCTCGTTACAGGGACCATGTCTTATCTTTTTTTCATCTTTCTCCCACATGATCTGTCATGAAATCTTGCATATAGTGGATATTCTTTTATCAAAGGAAAAAATAATGATTTTAATACCACATCCATTAAGACAATATTGAATTGTGGAATTGGAAATAGAATTTTAAATAACAATTTTAAATAATTAACACAGTCTTACTACTTCTCAATTGAAAGTCCCATTAACTAATATTTTCAATAAATAAATGTATGGAGCTATTTGGAATACGTGCACAGAAGAAAAGGAAGAGAGGAGAGAAGAAAGAAGGAGGCAGGAATAGTTTCTTTCTCCCCTCATCATTATTCTTTTACCTCAATTGCAAGAATTCTGGGAAATGACAAAGAAAATCCCATTCTTGTCAGTAGAGAAAAGCAAGCACCATGTAACACATGAGTACAACAACTCAATCAGTTCATCTTTGGTCTGGAATAGCGACTTTTTCTATGATATAAAAAGTCAGGAGTCCAATAAAATGGTCCAGTAATTTTTCTGATAGAATTTAATTGAGGACTTGTCCCTTACTCACCTGGTGACTGCAACTGTAACACTGTAATACTGTAATACTGGCCATATCTATAGATCTTTAACCGGCCTTTATTTTCATATTAAAACTAACAAAAGTTGTCTCATATAAGGGTTTCTCTCAAGACAGAAATTTATTAACTGACCTAGTAGAGGCCTTTTCTCTTCCAGTAACACCAAGATAAAACTATGACATAGATTCATAATTACATTGTTTTTTTAAACTTATTCAATAAGTTATTTCTTAAAAACACTGACTTGCTTAAAATAGTACCCAACCTCTTACTAGAGTCCCTTCTTTAATAGAATCTGCCCAATGTGAGTGTCAGCAAATGAATTACTAATAAGCTCAGGTCATATGAGAAAATTAAACTAAGGTTTTGGTCCACAAGAACACAGAGGGGAATTATTGATGGATGAAGGGAAATGAGATTTTTAAAAGTTTACTTTATGAAAAATAGGCACCTTTACATTCTATTCTTAAGAAGTGCTATATTCACATATAAAAAAACACTCTAAACTCTACCGGAAGAGATTGTTTTTCTCTTTGCCCTCTTACAATCACAAGTTTGCAGCATTTATTAGGACATTACTATCGTACTATCATAAGCGCGATTTCAAAAATCTGTTAATTATATGTTGCAACAGCTCCAGAGAGAGAAACTCAACTGTGCACCCACTTCAATGCAGTCATGACCAGGCAAGTCTGGGAGGTTGGCAAGTGAGCTCTCTGAGGTTCCTCTGATAAGAATCCAGGAAGCCTTGTGGGAGCTTCAAACAACTGACTGTTTTGAGTTCAGGCCCCAAGGATGAAGACCATTGAGAAATATGGCTATCCCCTAATCCCTGGGCCAGGAGACCCCAGAGAATATTATACTGTCTATGGAAGAATTTGAGGTAATATATTGATGACAACTTTTTACTTTACAACCATATAAGCAGTGGTAAAATGTGGGGAAGGCTGGTGGAAGAGTGAAGGAGATTTCTAAACTGGCCATGGCTGGCTGGGTGGGTGCAGGCCAGACCCATGGGCATGACCAGGAGAGGGAGGCTGGGAAGACTGCAATTCATAAGAATTCAAAGAAACACTCTAAACTCCTCCTCCTCTTGTCTCTGATAAACTAGAGGGGTTTGAAAATATTTTTAGGCCATAATTGTGGCTGGTAAGACTAAGTATGGGAGAGAGCATTTCAACTTTCCTATGATCCTATTTTTCTTCTATTATGGTGCCACCCAGGAAAATTTGGTTTATTTCTACATCTAGTTTATAAATCAATGACGGGGTGGACTGACTTCTGAACTTTCTTTTCTATTTCCATGCTATATGTACCTTTCTGTATGTGTTGGTCTGAAACTTTCTTTTTCTAATTAACAATAGCTTTCAACTACTACCTGCCTTTGAATTCCCAAGTCATACTTTTAGACTCAAGATTAATTAAGTTAATGGGCATCTGTTTCTGAAAAGAGCCTTCAGAGAAAGCATAAGAGTTCCAGGAGGAAAAGTGTGACACCACTGGGGGATCTCTGGAGTCACAAGTGGCCCAATGTGGAGGACGTGGAAGCAGCACCAGGCTCATGAATAACGTAGATATTAAGAAGACTGGACAGGCTGTTGCCAGAGACCTTTCTAATAACCTCCTCAGGGGGCTGCTTCAACCCCCTTCAGGGGTACCAGTACTTTAGCTCTCACCTCTACATCTGCATTCAATTGTTTATTCAACTCCCACCATGGACCAGCACAGTTCTGAGGACTGGAGACATTTAGATGAGTAAGACACACTCCCTCCTTCAAAGATAACTAGCCAGTGAGGAAGAAAAGCATACAAACATTTCATGACAACATCATGTGCAGAGTTCCAAATAGGGAATAGTGGGAAGTAGGAAGGGAAAATCCCTTACTCCCTGTATGCCAGGCTTATAGAAGCTAGAGTCTCAGAGGACTGAGAGAAGAGATTTTGTGCTAAAAAGGGATCTCTTTGGTGATTTGTAGACAATTAGGCTTTGGTGTAGATTAGCGCAATAGCCAGAATAGCATCTTCAATATCGTCTCCCTGGGAAAATGTATTTCAAGTTCCAAATAACCTACCTTCGAAATTAACTTGTAGGGCATGATCCTTTTAAGGCATTCTTCTTTTAGGAAGCATGGTTGCTTTCCGGCGCGTCTATAAGATTCTGAACTGTAGTTGAAAAGCCAAGGCCTGGGGCTTGGAGGTGTAACTCAGTGGTAGATTGTTTGCACAGCATACACCAAGGACCCAGGTTCAATACCCCGCAGAGAGGGGAAAAAAATGCTTGGCCTAAATCTCACCCTTAGGCACTTACCGGGATTTCTTCTGTTTCAGCAAACTCACTGTCAAGACTTGAAAAACAAGAATAATTCCCCAAGAGGAGCCTATGTCTTCTGCTAGCTAATACTGAGGCAGGCCACTCACCCTAACAAAACAGCACCTCATAATTAACATTTCTGTTTTCACACTTACGGGCTTCTTTCTTGTAGTCATTTAGTTAATGAGGTGCGAATGGTAAAGCCTGAGCTTGGGTACTTCAAGATGAGAACCAAAGTCCTAATTCTTGCTTTCAGCAGTTATGTGATATTAGGCAAGTTATTTAATTCTCTCTGTGACTCATCTTCCTCAGCTATGAAATGGAGATACTAACAATGTATAATTTTTTGTAATAAGGACTTAAGAAATTAAAATACAAATCTCTTAAAAAAATGCTTGGTAAATTAAGAGAAGACTATCACTCCCACCTCCACCACCACCATCAGCACCAGGTGGTGAGAGGTAACCACGGTGGTCATTACCTTTCATTGGCCCTGAAGTTTAGGTTGGCCACTTGGCCCAGGCAGAGAAAGCTGGATCTGGTGCCAGTCCCTGCTCCAACACCCCTATGAGAGGGAGAGCAGGCTCACCTTTATGATCTCGTTGTACATGCCCTGAGCGGCTATGTGAAGGGGCGCCATCATGTTGCCATTTCGGAGGTTTGGGTTTGCTCCTTGGCTGAGAAGAAACTTAACACTTTCAACCTGGTTTTTTTCTGTAGCCCAGTGCAAAGGGGTGTTTCCATAATCGTCCATTACATTCAACACTAGGGAAAAAAAATACCAAAACATGCATTAAATTTTGCTTGGACTGTGCCAAAGTGCTACTATAATTGGCTGTTAGCTTCTTTATCGGAAACGAAAATGTAGCTTTGGTTCTCAAGAAACCTCTAAGGGCACCTTTAGGGAACATATGAAAGCATGGCACTGACTCTATCAATTGACTAATTAATTAATTTAATTAAATTTCTGTCTATAGGGCCCATAAAAAATGGATCTTATTGCTACATGTTTTTATGTTTACAAATTTTAGGATTGTGGTAAACATTGAGATTATATAAGAGCAGGGACCATAGAACAGGCAATCCACTAGATTTCATACGACTAAGATTTCACAGTAGCCTCCAATAGCCCGTGAGGTACCACTAAGACCAATTTTCAGAAAAATGAAGTCGCTGAAACCTAGAGAGGTTGAAAGTCTTGCTAACACCACAGCTAATGAGGAGTTCATATTATCTCTTTGAACCTCAGCTTTCTCATAGTCAAAGTTGGTAAAAATAAAATACGCAGACACAGAGACATCTTGCAATGTTATTGGGACAATAATATTAAATCATGCCTTTAAAGGTCTTAGCAGAATGCCTGACCTATGGTGATGTTTACAAACATGTTAATAAGAAAACATATTCTCCACAAGTTAACAAGATGAGAATTTGAGCTTAAGCTCCTGATGCTGCAGTTTTCACATATTTGTACAATAAAATAAATAGTACTGTTTACCCTGTGAGTTTAAGAATAATATTCCCTTTCATTCCTGCAGTGCCTTGTAGCTATTGTAAAATAAACATGGCTATCTGCTTTATCAATTATTTTAATCATTGGCAGAATATCCTTATGTCTGGGGAGGGAAAAAAGGATTCACTCATAAATATGAGTTAGGGACTGTCGATAATACCTGGAACAACAGTGCAGCTGTATTTCCTGTCTCTCTCCAATATCTCCTTTCATTCATCAAAGTGCTTCACACTCAAAAACACACACTCAGGCACACACACACACTCTTCCATACCCTGAGAGTTACACACTCATGCACATCTCTTGAACATTCTGTCGGAGCCAGATGGAGCACTCCATTCAGCAAACTTAATTAACAGGGGGCTATGCTTACAAAGTGCTACTCACTAACTAAATATCTTGAATTTGGCTTTTATCTTCACCACTTTTCAGAACATTGGCACCACTTTCCAGGTCACTGGGGCCTTCTAATACAAGGTCTTTCTTGTAATCACCTTCCTACTTGAACTCTTTGGAGCTATTGATCCTTGTATCATCCATCTTAATAACTTCTCCCTTGGCCTGTGTATCATCAATCTTACATCCATCACCCTCTTCATCCTTTTTCTGGCTGTTCCTTTGCCATCTGTCACTCACAGTTGGTCCTCTACCCTTAGCTACCTTCACTAGCAATCTATGGTCTCTTGAAGTGTATTCATTCACTTCCACAGTCTCATCTACTTCCTATAATAACAGCTGCACAGGGGTGACTCCTTTCCTTCTATTATCTATTGGATATTTCCAAGGGGCAGTCCCCTGGGCTGTTCAATATCTCCGCACACTCTCACACTCACGTTTCTTCTGTTTACTCATAACCCCCTTTTTGAGTTGGTTGTACTGTTAGATTCATCTTCTAAGTTAGGAGTGTCAAAGTCCCTGCCGCTTAGTCCTCAAGCTCCACCTGTTGTCAAGCACTGTGGACCTACACATATCTCCCAAATTTCTCTCTTTTTCCTTACTCTAACCTATCTTTTTCCTTCATGCAAAAATAGATTTTTAACAAGACTTCTACTAATCCATTTTCCACAACAGCAAAGGTCTTATGATACCATCTCACTGTTTAAGCATCCACCTCAGTCATTGCCTACAGATGCACTTCTCACACAAAGCCAGGTGTCAGGCTGAGAAAAGGAGATGGCCCCTCTTTTTGAAGGGTCAGTTTCATTCAATGATTAATTTAAGTGTAGAATAAATAACATCTTCTGAAAAGCATAGAAAGGTTCATAAAATCTACATGAATTTTCATGATCTGCCTAAAAAGTCAAAGAAAGTTTGAATTTGTGATGTGTATCTCAGATGTTTTTACTCTCCTTTACAGTATTTCAGTGGAAATTTTTGAGCAACACACATCTGCAAGGAAACCAACACTCCAGAAGGTGACAGTTCTTCAGCATCTTTCATTCTAGTACGGATCTACCCTGTAGAACTGCTTCATACCACTCTTCCCAGGCAATCTAGTGGGAGGATGGTTTACGGAGCACTCACTGTAACACTTTGTTACCTGCACAAGAAGAGCCACTGATGATCGTCTTCATCAGTTCCACTTGACCTTCTGCGGCTGCATGATGCAAAGGTGAAGCATTGGTATCATCATATTTGCTTAATTTCCTTCGGTTCTTGATAAAGTTTTGTAATCTATGTGCATTTCCTTCAAAAACCACCTACAGGGATATAAGAAAACCCATTACCTTAAACAAGAATATGCAGAACTTTTGACTATAGAGCTAATAGCTTTAACAGGTTTACAATTATCCAAACTATCACGCTTATAATTAAGTATTTTTTATTGAAGTATATAAAATGCTGTCAGAATTAAAAAGGGAAAAGCAAATGCCTAAGCACTGATAAGGACATTAAATAAATGTTTTGATTTTCTTTATTGTAAACTTAAATTTGCTCTAGCTATAAAGGCCTTAGAGAAAGTTTAGAAGTAAACTTAAGAGAGGTGCTCTGACAAATAATAAATACTGTGAAAATACAGAGGAATTTGCTTTGCCAGGTGAAAATGTACTTAAACTCCAGCATGAAGAATTCAGATTAGATTTAAAGGTTTTTATAAATACAAGGATTATTAAGTCCAGGAATCTAAATTACTGTCTTCTTGGGCTTTCCTGCTTACAGGCAAACTCCATCCAATGTTTCCTTATAGAACAAAGCTAAAACCATCCTCCAGCACTATCTTGTGATTCACTTAAGCAGTAATTCAGAATGATGCCCACTCCCCCAGGGAATATGTAATGCCTCTTCTTTACTGCACCAGGACAATTGTCAGTATCCTGACAAGTGGTATGTGTAATATATTTTTGGCTGCATGACAAATGTTAAAAATCAATATATAATAGAAGCTGAGTGTGAGATTAAAAAAACCACCGACATAGAATGAATCATGCAGTGGAACAAGATATCATAAAGCTTAAGAACAGACTTGGAAGGGCAGGCTCAATAGGTTTTTAGACCTGCTGTCACTAGTCTGTAAATGTATCATTCCAAACAAATGCCACTTCCACTCATGTCAGAGGAAGAGCCAGAGCTTACTTGAACACCCTACTTCTCTCTGTTTTTTTTTTTTTTTTTTTTAACCATGTGTAGACTGGAGATGATTTATCATGGATGACACTGTGTTTCTCTCTTGTGAAATTTTTAGGTGATAGTGTTTAC